CTTAACAAAAAAAGGGGATACAGATGAATGTCCATTTTGTATCTGCGTATTCAAAGTGGTTAGGATAGATATATAGTTACATTCTCTTAATGAGCAGAGGAATTTGTTCTAATTGTGTTTGTAGATAGGATGTCATGTCCACATCTTATACAGCAATTAACCACTGGGAGGCAATGTGTTAATTATTGAAACTGTCCTATCAATTTGATTTGAAACTGTCTCACTGCTATTTGTTTAACAATAAAATTATGGGGGAAAAAACCACCCCTGTGTTCATTAGAAGATTTTGCATACCCTGCCCTCTTCTGCATCCCATGCCACCAACATCCCCTACCATCGTGATGCATTTGTTATTATCAGTGAACCAGCGCTGAAACTATTATTACCCAAAGCCCACAGCTTACATGAGGACTCACTGGGTATAATTCTATTTCTTTTCACACTTATAGGAGTTCACTGTACAACAAAACACTGTATGTAGTACTTCACCTATTAAACTAACTCAGCAACACCTTGCCCCCACACACAAAACAGTGGTTGGCTGGGCAAGTATGTGGGCAGCCCCTGGCTCAGTCAAATTGCAACATAAAATTAGCCACAACTGTTAAACCAAAAATCACATTCTTCAGTTAGGGAGCCATCCTAACTGACAAAGCAATACGGTACACAGTGTTGGAAGGAAAGTTTTACCACACCCTCCCCCCCAAATACAATTTTATGGTGTTTGTTTTCTTTGCCAGGATTCAAAGAATACAATTCTGAAACAAGATGCAAGCCCAGATGGATGTTATATAGCAAAACTAAAAATGTTCTCTTGAGTGAGTCTCTGATCCTGCCACCAGAGGTCCAGAGTTTAACTCCTGGTACAAAAAAAGACTAAAAAGATGCCATGCTGGACACAGTGGTGTATGTTTATAATCCCTGCTACTTGGGAGACTCAGGCTGAAGGGAGGGTGTTTACATTCAGCCTGGGCAACATCGTGAGACTCTGTCTCAGAAAAATAAATAATAGAGCCTTAAGTCTTTACCCCACCACGTGCAAAGATAAGTAAAAGTGGTGGTCACCATGTTGCAAATTTATGCTAAACAAGTTCAACCGCGTAATTCTTATGAAATTGGCAAAATATCCTTTAATCAGTTCCTGACCACAGCTCATGCCCCTTTATTGCTTTTAGTAGTACAAACGTGTTCACTCAGATATTCCTGACACTGTGGTAATGACAGACTCTTCTGATAAGATTTACTCAATAACTTCCATGTTGGCTGTCACTGGAACACCTGAGCTAATCAAACCAGAAAAGGTTTAGGTTTTGGTGGGCCCAATCTGTAATCAGTTGGCGACTAAT